TGAATTACACAATTTGCCCCACATGCACCACTGGCCTCAGAGGAGCTCTATAATTAGTTCTGCCTTCACCTACGTGAAGCACTGTGAGATGACGTATGTTGTGAACTGCGCTCTACAAATAAAACTGAATTGACCTGAGTTATTGTTGTTTCTTCATACAGCTGTTGCAGGTATTTGACTTTTTATTCCACTATATTTATTTCACTTTATTTACGTTACACACTCAGATGAATAAGAAAAAGTGAAGACATCAAAATCATCCCCACATATACCAGTTGTAATATTAAAATGACACGCATCTAGAATTAATATTGAAACCATTATGTACCGTTTTCAGAAATGATTTGGGTTTTTTCATCATTAGTTCTGTACTTTTGGTATTTGGGTTTTCATGCTTGAGGCACTGTTGTACTGTTATTTAGGTAAAGATGCTGCTGTTCTAAAGTTTTCTCAAGTCTTTCTTTTTTTTTTTTTTACAGTGCCATTTGACCATGTAATTGTCTTTTTAATCATATTTTTAAAATTTATATAATATTGCATAATAATGTAGAGCAAGTGTAGAATATTACTTTAGTTTCTTCACGATGATGTGAGATACTGTTTTTATCTACAAGCAGACGTAATACAGCTTGAAGGAAGAAAGTGTTAATTATTGTCCTTTTCCTTCTTTTTTGATTTAAATTCACATCATCCCACAGCGGTGAATAAAAATGGAGCTGCAGGATGATGTGTGTTTGTCGTCAGCGTGGCGAGATGAGATGAAACTCCCAGCAGCCTCTCTTATCCAACAGCCTCCCGGTTATGTAACAGCACAGAAGAAAGCTGCAGCGATGAGAAGCAGGAGGAGGAGGAGCAGGTCTATATCAGGGCTGGACTGATATCAGGGCCGATACTGACTAGAACCACATGAGCAGCCTGAGAGGAGTGATACTAGGCTATAGCACTGAATGAATCACTGGATCGACCTGTAAATGATCAGCGGTGGCGGCGCTGTTCTCGATTTACAGGAAGCATTTTAGTTTGGAATGTTAACTCACATCACAGCTCCAGCTGAATCTGTCTAAAGGGTTAAATCAGATTAAATGGCTGGTATAAATATCAGGTTAAATGACTTCATTCGGGTTAACACTATCCTAAATGGAAGCTCCATTGACTGAACATGTGTATGTTTTTTACTTTTGCAGTTCTAAGTTTATGTATATTATCTAACTTATATATGTAGGAAATCCTGGTTATTGTAACGTTTGTTTTCACGTTGGGTTGTTGTATTGTTACTGACAAGAATGCAGGTTATTGTCTGAGGATTTCTATATGAGATAAAGACTGAAGGATGCAGATTTCGTATAAAATTATGTCTGTTGTTGTCATTGTTTCTATGTTGAGTTGCCTTCCTGACCAGGTAGGTAGTCTTATATTTTTCTATATGTAATCTGGGGCTGCAAGGTGGTTCAGTGGTTAGCATCATGGCCTCACAGCTAGAAGGTCGCCGGTTTGTTGACACCCGGGATCTTCCTGCGTGGAGTCTCCATGTTCTCCCCGTGCAGCGTGGGTTCTCTCCGGGTTCTCCGGCTTCCTCCCACAGTCCACAAACATGCTGAGGTTAATTGGTGATTGTAAATTGTCCGTAGGTGTGAGTGTGAGTGTGCTTGGTTGTCTGTCTCTAAGTGTAACCCTGTGATAGACTGGTTACCTGTCCAGGTGAACCTACCTTCACCCTGAGTCAGCTGGGATAGGCCCGCCCCCCATGACCCTGGTGAGGATTAAGCGGTGCAATAATGGATGGATGGATGGATTTATTATATATCAATATTTCCAGTTCAGGCCACCAAGAACATCTTTCTGGTGATTGTGGATGTGAATATTTTGCTCTATTAATGTTGTGAAGAAGACAGATTTCCCATAAACTGTCAGTTGCTTCATGAATTCAGTCACTGATCTGGTTAATTTATTTATTCAATCATTCATTCTGTCAATAACTTTTAATCATCTGTTTGTTCTTCATCACTCATCCATTCAGTCACGGTTTTGTTGATTCATTTGTGTCTTCATTCATTCATTCATTTTCTTTTTATTCAAATATTTATTCATTTGTACATATTGTTCTTTTTTTGTTTAGTCACTGATTTGGTTAATTATTGATTATTTCATTCATGATTGTTCATTCAAAATAAATACACGTAATGTGTCACAAAGTAAGAATCTAAATCCATCAGCGTGTCAGAGATAATGAGAACCAGTATCAGTCGACGTCTGTGTGACGCTGCTGTGACACTGTGTGTGTGTGTGTGTGTGTGTGTGTGTGTGTGTGTGTGTGAGGAGGGACCACAGATCCCAGTTTACCCCTCTCTCCTTCCAGATCCATCTCTCCACCTTCCTCTCCTCTCTGCAGCATCCCTCCTCCTGTGTAGCCAATGACCTGCTGGAGAGCAGCATCATGTGACCAGTGGGCACCAATCGCTCTCCACCAGGCACCGGCAAAAAGAGGGGTGGTGTCTCTCCTCCTCCTTCTCCTTCTTCCCTGTGAGTCAGACGGTGTGTCTGGAGGAGAGTCGATGGATGTGAAGGATCCGTCTAACGAGCTGAGACACGTTTCTTCTTGTTCGCCTGGAGAGGAGCTCCAGCTGCTCTGCCTTTGAGCCCCTCCATCCCGCTCTCCCTCTGTCAGGGAACGCAGGGGGAATGAATGGGGAGACGATGGAGGAGACCCCATCGCAGGAGCAGCAGCATGCCGGTAACGGCTCCCACCTCCCTCCCCCTCCCACCATCACACCGGCCATACCCCCCTACGTGAAGCTGGGTCTGACCATCGCCTACACCATCTTCTACTCGCTACTCTTTGCCTTTGTCTATGCCCAGCTCTGGCTGGTGCTGCGGTACCGACACAAGCGCTTCAGCTACCAGACGGCCTTCCTGTTCTTGTGTCTGCTCTGGGCCGCCCTGAGAGCCCTCCTCTTCTCCTTCTACTTCAGGGACTGTGTGACCGCCAACGCACTTGGACCTTTCGCTTTCTGGTTGCTCTACTGCTTCCCAGTCTGCCTGCAGTTCTTCACGCTCAGTCTCATGAACCTCTACTGTGCACAGGTGAGGGGGGCACTGCTTCTGCTGCTGGTGGAGCAGAAGCTGGTGACACGGGGGACAGAGCACTGAGGGTTTGAACTCTGGCAGGCCTTAATCTGCTTCACCAGAACTGTGTTAATTTCCAAAGAAAATACTGTTTGAGTCATTGTTGATTTGACTTGTGGACCGTGATAGTAACGGCCACAATGGTCTCTGAAGGCAGATAACATGAACATAAAAATTCAGACTTTGTCAGTGAACTGGTGCTCATGCAGCAGCACACGTTGTGCTCTTAAACTCTCTGGTTGGGTTCAGGCAGTTAAAACAACTTGGTTCTACCTTGACAGCACCAGTGGTCCTCAGTGGTGACGGCTTAAATGATTCAATAACACAAATGGTTCTAAATGATCAACAAACCTTCAGCAAGAGACAATAAAACATGTTGCCTGTCATTCCATATCTGGCAGTCCTGCAGGACAGAATACAGGTATCCATGCCTCACAAAAATGTTGAAAAACTTTTTAAACTGTTTTGTGATCTGTTACCACTGCAGTGAATGTTTCATTAAAACTCGGCAGCTAGAACTACTAAAAATGGTGAAAGAGCATCTTAACCCTGGTTAAAGACCTTGTTGTTGTAGATCTCCAGTGGTCCTCACCTTGCTGCAGTGACGTAGAGGTGTGGTGGGAACGCTGTGATGTCACTGATGGGCGTGGCTACGGGTGCACACTCCTGACCACGCCCAGCAACAGCCGTCAAAAGATCAACCTGAAACTTTCAACTAGAGAGAAGCAATGAAACGAGTTCTTTCATCCTGATGTTAAAGTCTTAAACCTGCTAGACGTCTCAGTTTGTCCATCTAAACACACTCAGGTTGTGCAGTGGATCTCTAAGTGTCATGCTTAACGGGAGTCCACGTCATAAAGTCTCCAAACCAAATGTGTCAGAGCAACACTTGGAAAAACTCGTCCAGGGTGACGGACAAGAAATACTAAGAATACAGTCGTGACTCGATAATCGACCCTTAACAATCCTAAACCTGCTATCTGACAGGTTTTTAGGAAAAACCAACAGAACCCATAAAAACAGCCTTAACATAGCGACAGCCTTGGATTGTGACTCCGACATGACATTTAATGTCACCAATCAGGATGACGGCGTATTATCTGACTGAACAATCCCACAGATTGGCTACGTTCANTGACTGAACAATCCCACAGATTGGCTACGTTCACACTGCAGGACTTGATGCTCAATGAGGATTTCTTTGTGACTTCCTTCACGTTTCCAGTTCAATGCGACTTGTATGTGATCTGCTGTGTGAACTTCATCAAGTACTGCCTGTGTGTTCTGGCCACTTCCACCCCGTCAGAGCGCTGCCCCGGGGTGGAAGTGGCCGGAACATGTACAATCTCACCGGTCAATTAAAAATCCAGCAATGCGTAGTGTTCTAACAACACACTAGTTATTATAACAACTATAAACAACTAATGAGCCTTCCAGCATCAAGCCCTTCTTGTATCTGGACCTCCGTCCTGACAATCCGACAGCTTTGCTATCCAACATAAAAGAAGGTTTTACATTTCGTGTCAGATTATTGAGTCATGACTGTATTTCCACTCCATTGGATGGGACTAGCCTGGTTTCAGACTGCTGAATTGTCAGCAACATCTCCAATTTTTTCAGCAATTAAAATCTCAGCAGTTGGAGAAGTCTACCAATCAGAGCTTGGTATTTGAGACATCCTATCGATACATACAGGAAAACTACCAGCAGAAGACTGTGAATGAGGCACCTTCTGAACTGTAACATCTTCAGTCTTTGTAGAAATGTCCTACTCTGAGTAAACGTTGCTCGACACTCGACCTCCTGCATCCACTGAACCTGACATCCATTGGAACAACTATAGCAGTCTCTACCGACTTATGATAGAAAAGTAAATTGACCAACATAAACACAATGTGCCACTGAATGAACTCTGTGTAGGTCTGTAACTGAAGCCCAAACCTGGGCTGCACCAGGATCTTTTAGGTCCAACTGAACTGAGCCCAACTGATATTACTCAACTTTAGACCTGACTCTGGTTCCAAACTGAAGCTACCATGTACCATGCTTTCATGGCTATTGCCGACCATCTCAACAGACTAAAACAATACGCTGGATGCACTGTTTCTTTCCATCTCCACTTAAGGCAATGTTACAGGGCCAAAACACTTTGTCAAAACCATTTGGGTTTAGATGGATTAGTGGTTGATGCTGGAGAATCTGTCTTGAGTATTTCACCAATACAACTGTCTTGATTGGCAAGTCCACCTTGTTTCAGATATCTTCTAAGAATGACACAATACAGATGACTGGTGGCTTTGTTTTTACTGATCCTTTCATTTTTTTTTAAACATTTATTGTCAAAGTGAGGCGTCTGTTGGAAACTGAAGGTTACGCATGAGTTTCGTCTGTATATACAGCAAAAACCTTCAACCCATTTTTTATTTGTTGGGACGAACAGTTTTGCATCCGTTATTGGCTTTCTTTAGCAAACAATGTTGTCTGTCAGCTACAGACAACGCTAGCACGCTACGTTACTACTATGCGTACGCACACCAAAAGTAATTTGGAGGTCGGTGTCTTGCTCAAGGCTGCTACAAAAGAAAAACTTGTAATCAAACTACAAACCCGACAAGTAATGGATGGTCCAGTCTACCATCGAAAATGTAGCTGCCCCTGGAGTCGTTCTACGGATTTGTGTACGTTGTTTTGGGGTAAATGGGTACAAACAGGAAAAAGCATGATGCCGACAGTCGGTACACTGTCGGCCTTATATGTCGTAAATTCTGTCAGTTTGTGCCGTGATCAGCGTTGCAGCTGCCTCTCTCCTCTTATTCATTTACAGCAGCTGGCAGATTCTGAAATAGACCTGAAAACAAAGACTACGCTTTCTTTTTTAGTCTGGAGAAGAGCCTCTTTACCAGCAACTGTCCCTGAGAGCTGAGATGACGCAGGTTATTCTTCCAACCAAACAATACGTTGTCTTATTTCTTAACGAGGGCACCTTCAGGATCTAATCGATTAAATGAGCCACTAGAATTAAAAAAACAAGCTTTAGACTGATGGTGTTGAGGCAGCACTCACACAGCACATTTGGCATCTAAGACAACCTGAACTGTGCTGGAGTGTCTCTCAGCTTTTTGGACTTTGAGATATTTCTCAAATAAAACGCTGGTGATAGAAAAGAAGTAGATCGGACGATGCGGTGTTCAACCATGGACATCAGCTATGGAAGGCAGAGTGAGGAGGAGCAGATACTGTTGGTAAAACCTGACAATTGTTTCAGCATAGATTTACCGTCCACACAAATGTCCTTGGGCATGACGCTGAAGCATTGTGGTGGTGAATGGGTAAATGAGAAACACATTGTAAAGCGCTTTGAGTAAAACTAAGGTTGGTAGACGCTATAGAAGAGCAGACCATTTACTGTTCACCATGAGCTGGAAAGAGTGTGTTCAAAGGTGTCCCGCAGACAGTCTGTGGGTCATAGTCTGTTAAAATCCTGCAGGTTGAAAAAAATAAAAATAAAACTAAACATCCACATGAGGAGAAAAACGAGTCTGATCGGGCTCTGGTCAGTGAACAGTCATTGATATGTGCTCGTACCAGATGTTCAGCGGACCATATTGATTATAAATTAGTCAACAGATCAGAGGTGTGAGCAGCTATTCAGAAGTCTGTTTGTAATCAGTCTGTTTTTTTCCCCCACAGGTTTACTTTAAGGCCAAGTCCAAGTACACACCTGCACTGCTGAAGTACAGGTAACTTCAACGAACTTATTCCTTATGACGTAATCGTGATGAGTTCAAGAGATCTTCCAGAGCCCAGACCAGGTCTTTCCCTCTGTCCCCTCCTCCAGACTTCCTCTGTACCTGGTCTTCCTGGCTGTCAGCTTCATCTTCCTGGTGGTTAATCTAGTTTGTGCTCTGCTGGTCAAGATGACCGCCGCCGACGTCAAGACCATCGTCCTGGTGAGGGTGACCATCAACGACAGCCTCTTCGTCCTCTGTGCTGTCTCGCTGTCTGTCTGCCTCTACAAGGTCACCAAGATGTCCCTGGCCAACATCTACCTGGAGTCCAAGGTAACAAAGAACCCGTTTTCTGGAGATTTCTAAAATACACAAACATTTACAGTAAATATTAAATTCATGGTTTTCCTTCACTGGAAGGAATTCTGCACATATTGGTACATGTGTTTATGCACAAAATAAAAAAAGAATCAAGGTGAGAAACAACAAAGAATGAATACGTCTGTGTTTAGGGGACCTCAGTGTGTCAGGTGACTCTCATCGGCATCATGGTGGTGTTACTGTACGCGTCCCGGGCCTGTTACAACCTGGTGGTGCTCGCACTGGCCGACATCGAAACCATCAACTCCTTTGACTACGACTGGTACAACGTTTCAGACCAGGTAAGAGTCGGTTAGATTGTGATTTAGATTTGAATCTATGAACAGCATCTCTGTGTAGGTTTTGGTTTTATTCATTTATTTCTGCTTCAAATCGTGTTCTGGACCGGTGGAAAACCTACCCTGACCTGACATGTACAGCACCAGTCTAAGGTTTGGACACACCTTCTCATTCAGTGGTTTTTATTTATTGTAATTATTTAATACTGAAGTCATCAAAACTATGGAAGAACACATGGAATTCCAGTAAAAAAATAAAAATAAAACCATTGTATGAGAAGGCGTGTCCAAACCTTTGACTGGTTAGAGCCATTTTTCTGAGATTAAACACAGTCTCCATGAGATGTTGGGAGGGTGACAGACTGCAGATCTGCCTCCTGGTCTCCCCTCTGGACTCGCAGGGTTTTAGCTTTCTAATAAACTCGACCATATTCCTTGATGTGACAGCTGCAGCGTTCAAAGTGTGATTAGTGCCGTCTTTCCTAATCAGACCAGGTTTTCTCCAGAACCTTTTCCAGTTATCTATTAAGCCCACAGTGTTTTCTTGGCACCACCTCGACAGCCAGCAGTTGCATGATGACACGTAGCTGTAAATGTCATCACTGGTCACATTGAGAACACTACTACATCCTTCTGCCTCTGACCTCTGACCTCTGAGCTGTGTGTCTCCAGGCAGACTTGCGGTCATCGCTGGGAGATGCCGGTTACATCGTGTTCGGAGTGATTCTGTTCGTCTGGGAGCTGCTGCCCACCTCGCTGGTCGTCTTCTTCTTCAGGGTCAGACGGCCGCCTCAGGACAGGGTCAGTCCTCCTGCAAGTTTCTCTGTGGAATATTCTGACTGTTAATCCTCAGGAGAAAACATTTGGTTTCTCTTAATTTCTCTGAGCTCACCTTAAACCTCAGTAGCACACGTACCTTCATGTTATCTGGCATCACAATGAATCTCCGTCCACAGAGCACTGCTGGGATACCGAACCACGTTCTCTCCTCCAGAGGATATTTCTTCGACAACCCTCGTCGGTACGACAGCGACGATGACTTGGCGTGGAGCATTCCCCCCCAGAACGCTTCAGCGAGGTGAGAACACGATCGCTGTGTTAGTATTAGATCATGTGACTGTAACGAACTTTCTGTAAACTCTGGTGATTAAGAATGCATGAAAATTCAAGGTCTCAAAAGTTAGCTCAGACTGATCGATGAATAGTTGTTCCTCCTGTTTGGACGGGATGTAACTGTAAACATAGTTTACCTAAGGTACCCTACCGAAGGGATCAATAAAGTTTTATCTAATCTAAATAGATACGCAATGGATTTGGTTCGATAAATGTAATGGTTAAAATATACAAGTGAAAGTAAATACTCAGTACACTAACAAAACATTATGGAAATGGTGAGTCAAATACCTTAGAAAGAAAGGATTAAATTAAAACTGTTAGTTTAAGTAATGGATTAAATCTTTGTTTAAAATAAAATAAAAGGAACTGATAAAAGGCTTTATAAAATGTTTAGCTAAAATGGTTTGAATAATTGAACTAGCAGTTATTTAAAATAGCTAAAGGAATGGATTAATTGGTAAGATAAAGTTGTTAACTCAATTTGTTAAAACAGTTAACTAATGTAATGGATTACATTAAAAAGTTACTTAGATTGAATGGCTAGCTAATGCTAGCTAATGCTAGCTAATGCAGGTTTGCTAAAGACAAAGACAATGGATAATAGCTCAAAATAAACTTAAATGGTTAATTAAATTGTTAGCTAAAAGTAAAGAGTTAAAGTATTTTATGGAATTGATCGCTTAAAGTAGGGCTGCAGGTGGATCAGTGGCTTCCTCCCACAGTCCAGAAACATGTTGAGGTTAATTGGTGATTCTAAATTGTCCGTAGGTGTGAATGTGAGTGTGCTTGGTTGTCTGTCTCTAAGTGTAGCCCTGTGATAGACTGGTTACCTGTCCAGGTGAACCTGCCTTCACCCTGAGTCAGCTGGGATAGACTCCGCCCCCCATGACCCTAGTGAAGGCTAAGGTGTAGAGATGATGGATGGATGGTAGCATTTAGTATCAAAAGGTAAAAGTGATGGAAAAGTGGTTCAACAGATATCTGAAGGTAACAGAGAAGTGATTTAATGGACCAGACTTTGACTGAAGCATCTACTATTGGAGCCTGGATGGATGGACTGTTAATATCTAGAATCATGGTGATGGATAATCGTAATAACTTATATGTGATGGATACAAGGTGGAAATGTTCAGGTAGACACTTAGTGTTCAGCTGTAGGAACCAATACTGTAGAACTTATAGAAGTTATCTAAGAGGCTGTTTGACACTTTCTCTCCTCTCCATCCAGTCTCTCCTCCGACTGCTACGACTGGGGCAGCCGCCACAGCAGCTTCACTGTGCACACCAACAGCGACGAACAGCGACTGACCGCCGCCGCCGCCGCCGGAGAGCTCCACCCTTACCCATGATGCCCTGCTCCCTGTACAGCACCACTCTGCACTTTGACACTGCTCAGTTCTTGTGTTTGGTGAAATCACTGACGTAGAGGTTTGTAGAGTCACAGTAGAACACGTAGAAGAGAAAGGAATGTGTTTTACAGGGTTCCTACACGGATCACAGTCCGTTTTTAAACCTTCTTCTTTGATACTGATCCTCGGACCAGAAACTAGAAACAATAGCAACACTTTATTGGACTGGGCCGGTACCTTTCAGCTTATTTCCTGGAAACTGGTTCCTCTTCATTGATAAAGCCACACATCCTATATTGTCTCGAGAATTGGCATTTCTGGCATTTCTTTTTTTTTTAAAGGTAACTCAGATGGATATTGATGTCAGTTTCTGAACTCTTTCTGACCAATTTAATGCCTTAAAATCTTCAACCTGATCAGCTTTCTCCTTTTCCTTTATAACTAATTGGAATTTGCAGCTTGATACCAGATCAGGACGTTTGCTGGAAAACACAGTGCTTGTAAATTAAATCATCACCACAAAGTCTTTGATAAAAGATCAATTCACCAACAACAGTAGACCTTTACATTTCCTTAAAATTATATGGATCAGTATTTTTTATCAAAACACAGTGTGGAAGCCGAGAGGTTTGAATGCCCAAATCCTGTGACTGTTGTGTTTGATTTTGTCCATTGACCTCGGTGACAGTATGGATCGCTCAGACCTGACACAGAATGTGCATGTGACGGGAATTTAAACATGTGTTTATAGAATAACTGTATGAAATATGAAGGAAACACACCAAACATGTGTTTGCTGATGCAGCTTGTTGACGCCTGTGGCTGTGGTTCGAATGAATGAATTCTTAGAAGTGGTTTGAGCTTTGCAGGACTTTGCAGGACTTTGGTCATAATCAAATCAAATCTTTCTCCAGACTAACGCTGTGTAGGAACCCTGCCGATGCTTCTTAGAGTTACACTATGTAGATGATGTTGCGATGCCTCTTTTAAAGAATGTTTCTTCATCATTTGAGGAGTATTTCAATCAGGATTATTCAGGTGCTCGAATCCAACCCGACTCTTCCTTTGGCACATTTCATATACGGACACGTCCAATAAATTCAACAAAAAGGAAAAGCAAAGACCAGACATAAACAGAGAAAAGGTGGGAAAGATGGTTAAAGAAATAAAAGTCAGAGGATAGTAATAGTTTGTCTTGACTCCTTCCTGGATGTAAACCCTCTGATTCTCGTTGCCTTTAAGACGGTAAAATAAAGACTTTGTAATGAATGAATGTAACTCCTGAGTCCAAGATCTCACTGAGACTTCTAACTTGGTCTTCAGTGACAGTAAAATGAGATTAGCGCCACCTTTCAGCCGTGTCTCTACAAAACTATATTCCTATTCAGCTGACTTGTTGCTGGACGAGGGTTTGTGTCATAACTCATTTTTAAACTAACATATCTTTTCCATTTATTGCTTTACTGTCAGTCATTTTCATCCAACCAGTCGTATGTTAGACGGGGTGGGATTTATCACCATGCAAACACTTTAAACATCTTATTTGAACCCAAACCGGGACATTTTCCTCAACGTAACCGACTCATTTTGGTGCCTAAACTAATCCACGCTTCAAAACAAGAAGTTGTTAAAATGTCAACCAAACGATGATATTTTCTTAAGAACCATCTTTAAAACCAACCGTGTGGTTTTGGTGCCTAAAGCTAACCAAACAGGGAATGAAAGGAAAGATAACAAGTACAGGTGAAAACCTAAAGCCCACTCCTGTGATGCTGCCTGGCTGCAGCTTCCTCCTGCACTGCTGAGAAGACAGCGGTGAGGACTGAAGGACTGAATGGAGTCAGAGCTCCATCTAGTGGACAAACGGCGCAACAACAGCATTCTGCGCAACTGTGACACTTAACGGCATTTACTGTTTTATGAGAGAATAACCAGATGATGAGCCAGAACATCACCAAAATTTAATCATCTGTCCATTGTGCCATTATCAACATTGCCTGAAAGTTTCCTGAAAATCCGTTCGGAACTGTTCAAGTTATCTCGCTAAAAAATAAACAAACAAACAGATAAACAGATAAACGCTGGCTAAAACATAACCTTCTTGGCGTAAGGAGGTAATCCTGCCTCAATCATTTAAATCAGAGCCTTTATGAGAGCGTTCTCAGTATTGTGGCCCACATCGAAACTTATCAAAGTTCAGCATATCCTCCTGACATTAGTGACACGATGAAATGTTCTTCTGACCATCGGTTTCAACTTCTGAATGGAAAAGCTCAGTTTTAATTTGCAAAGTATTTCATTTGTTTTCCTCCATTAGCCACTCCTATCAGCTGAGAAGCATAAACTATGGCTATGCTGAAGCGAGTGAAAGCACCAGGTTCAGGGAAAGATGGTGGATTTGGTCAAATGTTTAATAAAAAATAAAAAAATCAAAGCTGACATAATGTTCCAGTACTTACTAATACCCAGTGTTGTAGGCAGCAAGGACTGAAACTATCTGGTAGTTCCTGAAGACAGTGTTATGGATCGGTTATTACTGATTCGTTGTAGTTGTTTATTGTAGGAAACTGCTACACAAAGTTTTTAGATTTTTAAACTGTGCCCTGAATAATCCTTGAAACACTCCTCAGGTCATTTCTGTTCACATGTTTTTGTCAGAAAAGAAGTCACACATGTAAACACTGTTACTTGATCAATCGCCTGTAAATATCGATAGCCAGACAACCGATCACCTCCTGTGTTGTAAATCCACAAGTCGTTTAATTTTTGTGAAATAGTAATTAAGATAGTAATCGGTGACTAATTCTCATTTAGTGGTTCTGACGACAGACTGGACAAGGTTTGGTTAAAGGAGGACGTTCAGAACCGAGCCGTCATGAGGTTCTGGTTGAGATTGTTTGGCGGTGTTCACATTTCTGTAACGACGCTCTGGAAAAAAAAAGCTTAAACTCTATATTTCTAACAGACGCAGGTTTTGTAAGTTATTTGTACAGTTGCGGTGTCTCACTAAGATGACGTATTTTGCTGTTGGACTCTTTTGTGTTTGTTGTTTTGTGTGTTTGTGACGTGTTGACGAGAACATTAAAACGAGAAGACGATCAGGAGAACGGGTTTCTGTCTCTTGTGATCGTTTCCAGAAAGAACTCGAGTGAGCCTACGTTGAACCACGTAAATAAAACAGCAGTGAAGCAACATAACACGAGCTCTTGTGGAAGAGCTGAAGCCGTTGGGTGATATCCAGAAATATTTATTCCTTTTCAAATAAATATATTCAGCAGGTACACACATCAACATAGAGATCTGAAAGTAAAACAAAGAAAGAAACTTCCACCTGCGCTTCCCTTTACAAACTGTACAGATTTTGGATTCAACACGAAGAGCGTCGACATCTGAAGCAGATTCCTTTATTTTATTTGTTTGTTTTTTTGTCTTTTTGTGTCTTATTCCAAAATGGCGTTGGTTTGGTTTTTAAGGCTGACGAGCAGACTGTAAAGGAAGTCCAGCTGCTGGAGGGCATGCAAGGCTCAGAGGAGGGCATGCGCGCACACACACACACACCTACACACACACACACACACACACACGCACGCACGCACGCACACACACACTCGCTCACACACACACACACTCGCTCACACACACTTTGTGCCTGATTTACTTTGGGTCTCACATTCACAAAGACAACCAGTGTTTGTATTCAGGTGTGACGATCACTCTGGAGGCTGAAGGTGACGATAAATGGAAAATAACTGATAGATAAAATAAACATGATCATTAGTTTTAACCCAAAAGTTTGTAATCAAGCGATTGTGAGCATCTTAAGCACAGTTTTTTTTTAGAATATTGGACTCTTTTTGAACCAGAAAAATAAATAGCTAGATAATCACACACACTCCAGATTTCCCGCCTTGGAAATTAAAAAATTAATGAAGTGACCGTTTAGGTTCAATCCTTCCTTTACGTGATGTCAGAATAAATGGTGCAGATAAAAACAAAACGGGTCCAATAATCACGAGAAGCTGCGATTAATCATTGTCAGCCTAAAATAATGGACATTAAAGTGTTAATTTATGAACAATTAAAAGTGTATTCAATGGTAAATGATCTCATCGTTTGTATTTCCTGTTATTGACTTTAAAATCACAAAGAAAGGACGGACGCTACTTTCTTTTGCTGTATTGACACACTCAGGCTTCCGTACACAGTTTAGATCTGGTGTGAAGACAAACAAACAGAAGATCCGTCATCATCAGGCAGGTTCCTCTAAAGCATCGACAACAAAGAGCAGCCGTTCCTCCGACAGGCTGGCGGTGGTCTTTTCTCTCCACCTGCTCAACATCCAGTGGCTTCACAGTAGCTGCACGTAAGGACACTGGGGTCACATGTTGCGTATTGCTTTTGGAAATCTGGTGGTTTTAGCAACCTAAAGGTGTTTACGCTCCACAAATACACAAATTCAACTTGACATTGGATTCTCACACATTTTCTTGCTGACTTAACGGCACAAGTTTAGTAAAAATCCAATTAAGGGCTCTGAGAGCGAATCAGGAGATAAAATTTAAAGGGAAGTGACTGAAGGCACTGAACCCATCGTCATCTTTCAACATTTACAGTTTTGTCGTCGTTTTGGTGTCTGAAAGTAATGAATGTAAATCAAATGTGACAACGGGACAAACGGCATTAAAACCCACTGAAATGCTTCAGCTGTGAAGGTTGCTGGAAAAACCAAACGTTTGTCTGAGTGGGTTTGATATCAGATTAAAACTGTTATGTGGGAAAAGTAAAAGGTGATTTCAGACTGAAACCACTGCTGCATGTGTTTCCTTTCATTTATATGAATCAAAGCGTTAAAGCTGCAGTTGCACTTTCAGCATTACTTTTCATTTTACCAGATTGTTTATTCTGTCTGGAAACATAAAAACGATGCGTCAGCCTACGTTCTACCTGCAGTAAACTGTGACGAGACAAAAGCTTGCTAACATTATAACGCGTCTCTTCACTACAGCGTGCAGCCGAGGCGATCGAGGAATCCATAAAACATCAGCCTGTCCGTCATAAACACACAGAACAAACAGTAAAACCTAAATACAGGAACATTCTTTGGTCCGCTTCATAACTTCTAATATTGAGCAAAACAAACAGTTGACCGTTGAAGCCCGGCTAATCAGACAGGTGTTGGTTTTCTGTCTGAACATGGGGGAATGTTTTTGTCATTTTGATGGTTGACATCAACATCTAGGCCTGTTTAGGAACCGATACGATGGCGGATAGGAACCAAAGCTGTCAGGAGCTGCTGATTTATTCACATATTGTCAGTCTGGTTCCACTGAAAGGAGACAAATTAGCTTCTAGTGGCTCCTGTTTGGATGTACAGAAAACCACCACTGTGTTACTGGGATAGGAAGAAAAAAAACAAGTGATGATTTCTGTTTTAGTTCTCTAACTTCTAAGCAGATTCCTAGAAATGTATTTCTTTACGTTTGAAGTTTGTGCTGCTGAAGGTCTCTTAAAATCTCAACCTACTCCATGACCAATATTTTAATTTCCACATCGCAGCGGGACTTGAGATTTAAAAATGTTTGTTCCATGTAAGAAAACTGCCCTCCTGCTAACTGACAGACGTCTCGGCCTCCCTGCTGCTTCTCCTCGGCTCTGTCCAGGCTTTCTGCCGGCCACATCATGACCAGAACATTTTCTACAGACTCACGGCGTCCCCTGACCTAAACACTCTTTGCTTGTTGAGGTTGATCGTAACAGAAACAACAGTTAAATCATCTAAACTCACACGTATCACTTTGTAATCCTTATTCTGCCTCGGTTAAAAGACATTTCTCTTGAGAACAATCCTACAGCAGCTGTCTCACCGACACGGAGCTCAGCTACAGAACAAGTCTGGTGATGTTCCAGGTTTTTCCTTTGGTCATGTGCAGATCCAGGCCAACGCTGAGCGACTCTGAGCAACGTGTACAGAGTGTATCTGACTGCTCTGTGACTTAGAAAAGTAGTTCATAGGCAAGGCGCTAGCTTCTCTGAATATTTAGATGTTGGCTAAACCGATGGAGCATCGTGGTCCGGTTTCTGCCATAAACTGGCCTCTGGTCTGGGGTGTGACCCTGGAACCAACATTTAAAAACTATAACGCAGAGCTAGCAGCGAGGTCATTCTCCTCAGACCTGCTATCATAAACAACTTGATCTAGGAGGGTAGTAGAAGACGCACACATTGTTGGTTTGAATCTATAAATAAGAAAACATCTCCGTCCTGTAGCGTACTGGAACCAGGTCTTTCTGTGCCACCAGCAGCTCAGAGCAGCACGTCCAGGAATGGAAGTCGCTTACAGGAAAGTCGGCATCACACCTCGTAACATCCGTCTGCCTCTGAGCAAACTACAGTCATAGCACGAAGTAAAACACTGAAGCAGTCGTTCATCTCAAATCTACCTCGAGGAACTTTAAGACAACACGGTAAAAGCAGGAGAATAAACGGGGCGGTGCTACGCTTGGTTCTCGTGTTACATGATAAAGAACAGGCTCCTCCTTTAGCTCCTGTGCATCAGGTGGCGTTACTCTGCTCGGTAGATGTGTCGTATTTAATCTATGGTTTATCCTCAGAGCAGCATCAGAACACGTCAGACTTTGGCAGATCTCTGGGTTGTGTAGATTTCTGTCTACAGGCTGATGCTGCTGATCATCTGCTAACTGGGCGGGAAACTAAAAGTATTTCCTCTGCTCACTGTGTGCATGCACTGTGCTGTAAAGGAACGGGCGTGAACTCCAAAGACGGTCAGAAATTAGTGCTGAAACGTTGACACCGACATGTTTCAGAGAGCTGATGGTACACTTTGTGGACTGTGCAGTGTTGCCTCCACTCCCCCACAAACACACATCTGTCTACAGAGTTTGGCGTAAATAAAACACATTCAACCAGAGCGGAGTCATGCATGAGAGGAATTAAACTGCCGGTTTCAGTCGGCGGCTAACTGAGGGGGTGCAGTGGAAGAGAAATGAGGAGCTTCTTTTTGTTTTTGCTCTAAATCATGCAAAGATGTGGCAGTAATGCCAATATACAGACGTGCAGATGTGAAAGACGTGTTCCCTTAAAACTGTCATTCAGCAACAGCGTCGACAAGATGCTTGATTCAGCTGATCGAGACAACCAGACCGACTGCTTCTACAGGATGGGAAAGGCTGAGACAAACAGCTCAGTCTGGAAAAAGGAACGAAGCTTTAATTGATTTGATAACCAGCAGCAGCAGCAGCTGGACTTGCATCAGTAGCTCTGTGAAGTTAATACATCAGCAACTGCGATCAGACAGAAGTCCTTTAAAGAGGAGCTCTGCCTGCTCACGCTTCTGGAACCAGCTCTGTGCAGTCGCTGAATTTATCGCCAAGCCTTGCGCTCATCATCGTACTGCCAAGTAGCAGAGTAAGAAGCACACGGCGGCGACTGACCGGCAGCAAAACACAGGTCAGAGTAGCACAGTTACCGTCCAACTCACTTCTCACACACACACACACACACACTTTGTCTAGAGAGCCGACATAAATTAGGCCTGAGATGGTAAACACAAGCACATTGGTCCTACTTCTCAAGCTTTGAGCGACAAACCACTCTAAGTAGCATCGGGTGAGACGCACAGGAGAGGACAAATTAAATAAAGTTCAATTAAAAAGTAAAATAGGCAGCTAAGAAGCAAAAAACAAAAAGGAAACAAAACAAATAAAATAGGCAGCCTTATCCCGACGGCCCGAATGCAGTTTCATGTGCCCGAGTCCTTCTGGAAGTCTTTCTGCATCCTGCATCCAGAAGAGCCGTGAAAGCTTGAATCAGGTTCATACTATCAGTGTAAAAACCAACCAGGTGTCCACAGAGAGAGGGGTCTGTAGGAAACATACAAACGGTGACGTCAAAGAAAACTTCTCTAACAGATAAATGAAACTCAGTCGCTGGCTGCTGGACACAGTTTCGTTCGCGTCCACGCATCCTGATTCTGTGATCTGTGGCTTCGCTTCGGTCCAAACATCTGATCGTTTCCTTCAGGCTGTTTAACGTCACAACAACTTGCAGCTTTTTCAGGGTCAACTTCTCAAAAGAGACTAAAAAGTATTTAAATTAAAAAAAAAAGGTCAAAGTTAGTCACTCGGCTGACGAGTTTGACAGCAGACAAAAACACATCAGACTTTTCTGCCGAAGGCAAGAGGAGGCAGAAGTATTAAAATCAATGATCCACCACATGGAGAGGGAGGAAGATGCAAAGGGGGAAAATAAAAGAGATTCATGGGATCAAAATCGGTGAAAAGGTGTCGATAGGTTCAACACTGATCCTGATGTTAGTGAATAATGCCTTCTTCTGGCCAAGAGTTAGACCGCTGCAGTTCTCTGTGGGCTGGCGCCGCCTGCTGGCCAGGTGGAGCATCGCCTCCGGTTACCTCTTCTCCTTCAGCAGCAGGCGGAAGTTGTGGAGCTGATGTATACTGGTGGACAACCTGAAGCAGACAGAATGAAGATAAACGAACATTAAACAGCTGATGGGACAGGAGGGCGACTGAACCTCCAGTACACACTGTTCCTAATCAAACCCAGTAGCCTGCGTTTGGGAAAGCGGCGGATAAACTAGAGAGTAAAAGTCATTAAGAAATAAAAACCAAAAGTTCATAAAGTGAACCATAATGTAACCAGAGACCATCTTGATGATCAGATATTGATTTTAAATGAAGAAGTTCAAGTGTAACGAGGGTGATGACACAGAGGGTTGCATTATGGGCTGCTTGGAGCCTCAGTGATTGATTTTCAGTAGACTAAGGTTTCAATTAGATCGCGCATTTAATCTGTACAGGCATATTTTTCTGTCTTGCTCAACCAGAACTCCCACAAGACTAAATAAAGTTTGGTCTGGTTATGTTGACCGACTAACTGTGGTTCATTTTATTCACAGAGCTACAAGAGACCATCAAAAGCATTCAATCCCAGCAAAACGTCTACAGTTACACCCCATAAAACCCCATGCAGTGGTGAGAAGGCATTAAAGCACCAACAAATAGACACCGTTCAGCACAACCACTCACAGAGCCATTCTGCTAGCATGGCTAAATATACATTTTAGGCTCTCATGTGGACATACCTGCCGAAGCCGTTCAGTAGCGCCACAATCTCCTGTCGAGTCAGCTGGAAGCCTTTAGATGGGCTGTGCTCAGGGAGGTTCTTGATCTCCTTCTCAGAGAAGAGCACCTTCAGAGCTGTCCCCAGACCCTGGGTCTGCACACGACACACAAACGCTCAGATTCATCCGGAAAAACCAGGAAAGACTTCATGCATTATTGCATTTTTAGTCCAGATATGCAGCATTTACACACAGAAACATGCATGATGTAGTGAAGGAGCCATAACACAGTAAGCTATATGTTTTATGGCAATGCAGAGGTTGCTGTCAGGTTTCCTAGTTTGTACTGGAAGCAGCTGCAAGCACTAAACACATTTAGTCAAATCACCAACGCTGTACTTTTCTTAAAAACTCCGAACACCCCTGTGGTGCTGCTACAGGCTTTGAGCTGTGCACGGTGAAGGCACCGTGTGGAGCTCATCCCTGTTCACCAGCTCGCAGTCTTTTCCTGTCTATCCGTGATCCGTGGGTATTTGTGTGTGTACAAGATCAGAACAGAACCAGTGGAGCAGCTCACCTGTAGCTTCCCCCACAGTCTACATTTACTGCAGCCGACGCAGTCCATGATCCTGGAGATGTTTTTAAAATGGAGGCGGAATTCCTCCTGAAGGAAAAGTGAGGAGACGAGGAACTTTTATTTATCACTTAAATGTTTTAGATCATCACACGAGCATTAAGACACATTCCGATTCATAATCAGAACCGAATCAGATATTTGGAGAGGTTATGGATTGTGGCTGTTGTTTACATTTTTGGAAAACTGACATAAAACTTTATGGCAGAGGAACGGGAAGAGGAAGTAACAGAGGAACCCAAATACATTAAACATCAAATGGCTTTTCTGCTTCACTGCTCATTAAAAGATGTCAGAATAAAAAGACACCTGCTCTGTCAAAACCACAGAAACAAGCTAAGACATCATCCACTGACCCTACCTGAAAACATGACAGACACACAGACACAGACAGACATACTACATTAGTGTTCAAAGGCCACCATCACAGCTTTAGATTTTCACCTTTAATGTTTTGGCTTCCATTTTGTGTCCAGCAAACATGGACCTCTCATCGAAGTGCATCGGGAAAGCTCTGGGAGACAGAGACAGCCGTTAGACGCTATAATAACCACTGAACTCACACATGACTTGCATTCGGTTACTCTCACATACATCTATCTCTGTGAGCTTTAAAGTAGCATCACCTAAATCATCAGAGTTCATCCTCACGCTCCATCAAAAGCTGGATTTATGCTCAGTGAAGAGCTTAGAACTGTGGGAGGTGCTACAAAACTAAACAACAATCCATCCAGCAGCGGTTGTTGAGATATTTCAGTCTGGACCTTAAAGATCAGAAGGTTTGAGATCACGTTTGTCTCTAAACTGAACCCTTCCTACTCCATACGATGTCGTACGCTTCACTACACCGACAACAGCTTCTTACTTGATCTCGTTGAAAAACTGCAGCAGCAAGTCCTTGGTGTCTCCGTCCTCCTGAGAGTTTCCCGTGTACAGGTTGACGATGGCCCGCTCGAAGTACGGCGCCACCTTGTAGAGCGCTCGCAGCTCGATCAGGTACAGGAAGTAGAGGTTCTTCAGCCGCCGGGTGCCTTCGCCCTTCGTCTCCGCCGTGTCGAAGCGCTGACGGAACTCCTGGACATTTGGACCCCACACCGAGCGGCCCCAGCCCTCTGAGGAGTCGCATATATACAAGGTTGTAGTTCAAACACGATGAAGAACTGACACTTCTAGTCGGACTTATTTAATCCTCCTAACTGAAACTTTTAGACTAATTAGAGCAAAGTTCCTGTCCAGCTGTTTGTGTTCAGACAACATTTGAAAAACTAAAAACCTGTGAACTCTGGAACTCAAACGTAAACAATAACCATCCTCAGCATCTGTTTCTTTTATTTCATGTAGATGACGCGAAACCCTGGAAACCTTGGAGTCAACTGGTCTAATGGCTGCTAGACCTGAGACTAGTTGTAAAGTGACATCTTGTGAAGTCGTTTTCGTGTGATGTGTTGACTTCCTCACCGTCCAGGAGGTACTCGGCACACAGGTGGATGTTGATGCTGCTGTGAAGGCCCGAAATGAGTCGGTAGAAAACTCTCTTCTCCAAACACAAACCTGGACAGAGAGAGAGATCATGAACGTGTTTTATTAGATATAGATTCATTAGATAGACAGATATTGGTGGTGGAGCACAAGTCCCAGCTGGATGTAACACAGGAGCAAACTAATTATAATCAGTATGTTCTTCAGGTTAACTGAATAAAATGGAACCGTGGAAGTGCTTCACCTTTTAGGTGAAAAGCAAGACAGTGAATGTATTAGAAGGAAATATAAAGTTGTAAATATGTGAGAGCATGAAGGTAGGAACATGAGGTGGAACATACCTTCGAGCCAGTTGTAGAAACCCTCTCCTGCGACATGAGCGTGAAACAAAAGAGACCTCGTGAGTTATGTCTTAACATCGCTAAAAATAAATCCACATGAAGGCATCGTTTGTTTTACTCACCATCGTCGTCTCCTGCACATAAAACAGCAGAGAGGAGAAAAAAAAACAACTGTTAGATCTGGTCTATTAATACACACACACACACAAATCTACATAAACATGAAAAATTATAAAACAGAATGTTATTATCTGAATGTCAGCTATTTTAAAAGCAGTCAGGAGTTAAACAGGAATCAATAAACAGGACAAACCTGCATCTTATCTTAGTTTGGGTTGTGGTGCATTAAAACACAATATTATCTCATTTGAACACTGATCATCTTGCTGCCAAAGTCTAGGTACCAGACCCAACAGGATGCTTCTGGAGGCCCCACGTCCTCGCCCTGGATGAGCTGCTTCAGTGGCATTATTAGGTAGCTGGTTTTAATGTTGTGGCCGGTTGGTGCATGTACATATCCCTGAATACTTGCATCTCTACATGTCTGATACGAGGGGCTGAACGCTATAGTTTCACCAGCAGCATCATGGGTAAAGATATGGATTACAGACAGAGCATTTCTAATAAAATGAGGCAGTAAGTCACGAGTCGTTTTGAGGTTTTCAGTTTTAAGACTGGGAATGAATAAGGATGTGAGTCTATTCCTTACAATATGAAAAGTCATAATCATGAGAGTAAAAACAACAGATTGACAGCAACAGAAAACCTTTGATGAATTTATGTACTCAGACAGTCGGTGTGATGATGAGTCTGGTCACACACTTTCTCTGATACTCTGTGAACACATTCCAGTCAATGACAAAAACGTACTCAGGTCTGATACCAAACCTTGTTTGAAATGAACCAGTATCGACAAGATAACAAGGATAATGACCTTTGCAGAAGCTGCGATCACATTTGGTTTGTCTAAATGAAAGAGCTGAAGGTGGAGCAGACACAACTGTCACAACCTGCTGTCAGCTACTTCCTACTTCCCTCAGGCCCTGACGTCTCTTGGCTTTCCAGTCACTGCTGTTCTCAATGCATCCACCACATGCCAGTCACCTCACTCCCACATCCACCTGCTCACCTGTTCCTCGTTCCTCTGAGCATCTGAACCATTTCCACCTGCGCTTGTCGTGGCTGAAACACGTTTTCACTTTCCAGTTACACTGACCAAAGCCTGTGCTTGTATCTGAGCTTCCTGTTGCGTTGTTCCTGCCAGTGAACCCGTTAATCTGTGGTTTCCTCTGTGCTCACATGTCACACTGTCTGCTTGCTTATCATCCTCCACTGCTCCTGAAACTCCCAAATAGGGAACCTGTCTGAGTCATCCTCCCACTGCCTGCTGTGACAGAGACTGTAAACTTGACAGGTATTGGTTTTTCAGACTCACCTCTGCTGGGAGCCAGAGGGTTCAGAGGTCGGTACACCGATCTGGGCCTGTCGACACAAACACAGATTCTTATCTTAGACCGCAGTGATCATCACAAGTTTACATTCACAAACAGCTGACTATCTCTTGGCAGATAAAAGAGCACATAACAACATTTAGATCTTCCCCGTTACTTGTAGGAAAACGGATTTTCTTTAAACACAAAGAATAACAGTCAGTATTATATTAGACTGCAATAGTGGGGGGCGGAGTCTATCCCAGTTGAGTCAGGGTGAAGGCGGGTTCACCTGGACAGGTAACCAGTCTATCACAGGGCTACACTTAGAGACAGACAACCAAGCACACTCACATTCACACCTACGGACAATTTACAATCACCAATTAACCTCAGCATGTTTCTGGACTGTGGGAGGAAGCCGGAGAACCCGGAGAGAACCCACGCTGCACGGGGAGAACATGGAGACTCCACGCAGGAAGATCCCGGGTGTCCTCACCGGGATGCGAACCGGCGACCTTCTAGCTGCGAGGCCACTGAGCCATCAAAACATGACTTAAATAAACAGCATCTAACGGCGTTGCATCAAACGCTGTTATAAGTGTGTGTTTGTTTTTCAGTCTCACTTGAAGCAGTTTTCCTCGTAGATGCTGTTCCAGACTCTCCAGGCTGAAGGACCTTTATATCCAGTGAACCGTTCGGGATTCAGCAGCAGATCCACGTACTCAGCATCTGGGGAGGTCTCATCTGAAACACACACGAGTTCATTTTATGGTCAACAAACAGCACAATAATGGCATTTCTCTTCTTACAGTCTTAGCGGTAGTTTGATCAGACATCATGAGGATTTATCTCATGTGCAGCAGGAATATCCTCAGACAGTCGAGATATGATCACAGTGAAGGGGGTCCTCACCATCCAGCTCACAGAAGTGATCCTGAGCATCGTCGTGTCTCGCCCAGTCAGCGAACGCCTCTTTGCTCTGGTTGCTTTAACAGGAAATAACACAAACTTAATACATCATAGAAAAGAAACTGTGCGGCAGACAGATGACAGAGGTACATGTAGAAAAAAAACACAAAGCACCCTGTAATAAATGTTAAACCACTGTAATAATGACTGTAATGGCCACGTTCCTTCTGGATTACACAGTAAATTCACTTTTATGATTATAAACTCATATCCCAGCTCATCAGGAAGCTGGCTTCAGAGGGCAGGGTCGACCACGCTAACGGGTTACAGCTGGGTTGGCCAACAGCGGCAGCCTGACAGCACAGACAGTCGTGTTCTTCCTTCTCTGGTCTTTTCACTCTGGGATTAGTTTTAGATTTTCAAGTCGAACCAGTTAAGTGGCTTTGTGTTAGTCTTTGTTCCCTCAGGTTTAACTATGTGGCTTTATCAGATTCTCTAACTTGTATAATCTCAAGCTGTGTGTGTTTTTTTCCACGATAGGAGTTCAGTAAAGGTCAGTCTCCAGCGTTAAGCGTCGACTGGTGGGAAGCTACCAGCAGCTGCCAGTCAGACAGCGGTCAGTGTTTGCCTGGTTACTATCAGCTGCTTTGCATTGAGAACATGAGCTGCTGCAGCTTCTACAGTCAGCAGATAAAACAGACAGAGGTCTGCGGTCTCACCTCAGGGTGCTGTTGATGGCGCCCAGCTCTTTGGCCTGCTCGCACTCAGTCACGTCCAGCATCGTATTGGCTGCCTGGGAGTACTGGACACACAGAGGGGGGGTGTTAGCATGTCGTGCTAATAAACTGTGATCATCTCCACACAGGCTTCAGATATCCAAGTGTTCCCTCAGCCTGTGTTCAGGTGGTACGGAGAGCTTCTAAATCACACAGGAAACTACCCAACCATGCACTTCCTTTGCTCCTCTGCTTACATTTGACTATTTAAAATAAAGAAAGAGCAAAAGTCTGACACTTCCCTCACACACTGCTGAAGCAGCACATGCTTCAGCTTCCGTCTGAGTAAGTGGAACACGTCTGACTGGACTGAGACGAGCGCAGACGTCCAAACAGCTCTGGTTCATTACAAGACAAACATCAGGCTGCAGGCCAGGAGCCGACAAACACTCAGTCCTCAGCGTCCACATGGAAACTATCGGAGCAGATAAGATAAGTGGTCCCACAGTTTACCCAGTGAGTGTGTGTCTGTGTGTGTGTGCCTGTGTGTGTGTCTGTGTGTGTTTTTGTGTGTGTCTGTGTGTCTGTGTGTGTCTATGTGTGTGTGTCTGTGTGTGTGTATGTGTGTGTGTGCTTAGGTGTCTGTGTCTATGTGTGTGTTTTTGTGTGTGTCTGTGTGTCTCTATGTGTGTGTTTATGTGTGTGTGTGTTTAGGTGTCTGTGTCTATGTGTGTGTTTTTGTGTGTCTGTGTGTGTCTCTGTGTGTGTTTATGTGTGTGTGTGTTTAGGTGTCTGTGTCTATGTGTGTGTTTTTGTGTGTCTGTGTGTGTCTCTGTGTGTGTTTATGTGTGTGTGTGTTTAGGTGTCTGT